ACCCGAAGTGATTAAAGTTCCTAGATCGTAAAACGCTCCCATGAAATTTATGACTGCACATTATTGCACGTGACAATGTCTGGTGATTAAGAGAGGAACGTTTCGCGGACAGTTGAATTATAAACGTTTCTTACAAGACATTTTGGATACGGGCACTTAGAAACACACTTGTTGAGCACTGAGCTAAGATTGTCCGAGCTAAGAAGCCACTTGTTGCTTCGTCCTTCCTACAAGGATTCCACGGGTCCCGTAGCAGGATACTTAGCACTGATAGCCGCAGAAATCCCATGTAACTTCGACCACCCGACCACTTCCGCCAGCCACCGAGATTTTACGGCTTTACCAAGTGTTTCTCGTACGCGTACCGTTGTGGTTTCTTAGGGCCTGATAATTAGGAGGACGTCACGCGCGATACTTGGCTAATTATATCCCTGAAGCATCACTCCTCGCGACTACTCCTTCGTAAAGAGATCTTCTCTCATACTGATTATTTGTCGTCTTTCTTCTTCCACTCCGCAACTGAAATACTATGCTCTTACTTCAACGATTGTATCAAGGGGGCGTCTCCTGAGGCGGGGGAACACATGTTCGTGGCTTTCAGATAGAACTGAAGAACTGTCGCGCGCAATAGAGGCTTAATTGAACGTCGACGAGTTATCGAGTATCAACTTTAGATACGGGAATACAACTTCGATGCGCAGCGGAGAGATATGTTTGGCATATGGTATTCGAAAAGATCCGATTGTGAGAGAATTATATTTGTGTGGACTTTGTACAGATATAATCGACAGAGTTATTTTCCTTTTCAAGTCGACTGCCTCAAGTTTTCGGTCTTCGAGAGAGCGCAGTGTCGGTGTCAACACTCTAATGAACAGCTCGTTTCGAGGCTTATCAAAATCGGACCGTTTATAAAAGAAAAAAGAGAACAGGTGAAAACCTATAATTACTTACCTACATCTCAAGTTGGTAACGTTTATTTCTATATCGAAACTGCTGCACGCTTTTTCTATTTTATATATATATATATATATATATATATATATATATATATAGAGAGAGAGAGAGAGAGAATTTTGGCGCGATGTATCTATCGATCTGGCTCTGGTCCGAATTAATAAATTTCCAGAGAGTTAACGCGCTGAATAGGAAACTTAAAAAAACAGACTCACCCTGAGTCTTCCGCGTTGATTAGGTTCCGCCACGTGTCTATTGTGCCACCCATCGATGTGACGCCCCTTTCTGGATGCACGCGTGTGTTGCGTGGCGTGCACGCATGCTCGCGCCTTAATCATCCGTAGAACCGTAAGATGAGAACCCTAAAACCAATCTCATCGTACAAAGATATCTCGCTCGCTGGGAGCTGGTTTCTATGAATTCTCATCGGATCGTACAAAAGAAGATCGGATCGTATAAGAGCTCAGATCAATAAGAGCTAAGCACTCGTATTATCATTCTCGAAAAAAGAAACAACCATTTGATAAAATTTGTTGAAACGAAATTTTTGTCGAGCGGAATTATATATCGGACGTATCATATAATGATGAGCTGTGTACTGTGTAAAAATTTGAAAACTACCAAAATACAATTCTGTACAAAATACGAGTTCTCGATCAATACTGATAATTTTTAACGCCGCTAAATCTACCATCTCGTTTAAAGCTCGATCGCTTGATCTCGGTAGTAAAAAATTAGCCTGTACACGCGCAAAAATAAATTCAATGATCGGGAGAGAGGAAAAGCGAGAGGAATAGCGAGAGCGAGAACGAGAGAGAGAGAGAAAGAGTAGCTTATGAACTCCAAATGTTATATAAACGCCGCGACTGCCAATAACTATTTTGCTTCATATTTAACGAACAAGCGACTGTTTCGGGTAGTCTTTCGCACAACGAGCGCCGCATAAATGATGCAGCGTGCACAATGAATAATGCGTATAATATATAATCCATATCCAGAAATATCGTGTCAATGCTCGGACAAGCGTATCGAGGCTAAATCGTCAAAGCCGACTCTATATCTAACGAGCGCGTATATACGCTTTACGCGGTCGCGGCAACAGGAAACTAATTATAAATCTGTTTCCAACAACGCGCGCCGTACGTCATAACTATACGAGCACGTTATAATGTATCAGCGTGCGTACTTCCCCCCCGGCGCGCGCGGCGCATTAGAAACTATTTTTAAGTTTATTACGCGTAGCGTGTGGTAATCGAGCGCCGTAGCCGCGATGGAAAAGAGTTTAACGCGAGCATGCAAGAGCGCCAAGAGAGCATTTCAACACAACAATGGCCGCGCGGCTAATTCTACACTCGACGGGATCGCCGCGAGCGTAACGTGCTTTCCTGCCAAAGGACTCTCCTAATCGTCTAATCGTCGCAGAACTGCACCGAAGTATGCTTCAATCGTGATCAACGCCGCTCGGCCATCGCGCTTGCAAAAGGGGGGAATATCTGATTGATCATTAAGGGGCGACGGGGACAAAAGGAGAATAGAGGAGAGAGAGAGAGAGAGAGAGAGAGAGAGAGAGAGAGAGAGAGAGAGAGAGAGAGAGAGAGAGAGAGAGAGAGAGAGAGAGAGAGAGAGAGAGAGAGAGAGAGAGAGAGAGAGAGAGAGAGAGAGAGAGAGAGAGAGAGAGAGAGAGAGAGAGAGAGAGAGAGAGAGAGAGAGAGAGAGAGAGAGAGAGAGAGAGAGAGAGAGAGAGAGAGAGAGAGAGAGAGAGAGAGAGAGAGAGAGAGAGAGGGAGAGGGAGAGAGAGATTGAGATGCTTACGGGGAGGAGCAATCTTTGGCCGGACGCGAAGATTTCCATCGAGAGACACTCAGATTTGATTTTCAACCCCATCGCGCGCGCCGCGCCATCGCTCGGGCAGAAGGGCGCGACGATTCCGCCATGTTCGAACGTTCGACTTCGAGTTTGCTTTTATCGGGTTACGCAACGTCCACGAAAACCGTTCGGGCTAAGTTCTTTGTCTACAAAGCCATCTGTCACCCCGAAGAGCCCATGAGAGGGTGTGCGAACGCGACTCTCGTTGGGTGTGTGAGTGCGTGTATGTGGGTGACGGCAGCCGATACGTGTGTCGCAGGGCCGCGTTACGCGTGTCCTCTGTTCTCGTATTCGCGCGTATGCACGGGGGCAGGGGGCGCAATCGCGCGACGGGGGGACGTAGCGCGACGATGGGTATGTGTGTGCGTGTGTGTAGATGCTAGGCGTACGCCAATATGCGAGATACGATCGAGATAAAAGCGAGATAGCGCGACAAGTATAAGCGGACCTTTGGGATGTGTATCGGGTATTGATTTTCTCTCCCGCGCGGAGTTACGCCACCGGGCTAAGCCGAAACGCGACAAAGTTTATTAATCCCGCGGCGGCAAACGCGTGCAAGACGCAGGAGGGTGTCGCTCGTCGTTCGAGACGCGAATCGTTCGAGACAGAGGTCGAGGCGCGAGTGTCGAGGTGTCTCAGATGATACGCACAATGCGGGTATCAACGCCGCCAATTGATATCGTGCTAATAGGTTCTCCCTACGCCGAGTTTGCTACGTGCTCTCCATAGAATGGAAAGTATCGCTGTCGGTGAGTGTATCTATCTCCTTTTGGTGGCGTTTCGCTGCCATTATCCTAAGCATACTAATTAACAACAAACTTTTGGACTTTGTTATATTTCGGTGTGTCGCCGCTTAAGTTCATTTAACCAACTTAAATCTCGGAGCCGCATAAATTGGTCAACTTTGGGGAGTAACCGCGCAGTGCGGGGGTGACGTTGGAAGATGGATAGGGAAAGAACGGGAAAGAGAGAGAGAGAGCGAGGGGGGGAGAGGTGGGAGGGCATGGCAGAGAGCAGCTAATATATCATAAACTTAAGAACAAAGAGGACAGAGGATGTCGAGGCTGCGCCGGAGAATCCGCAAACTCTGGCATCCTCACGATGAAACTTTACCTATTTGTTAAGTCTTGCCGGCCGAAACTGTCTCAGATACTGGCGCCGAACAGCACCTCACACCTACGACCTCCTTGGCCCTCGTCCTCCTGCCGGGTTCTACTTCCTCGATCCTTCCCCTGTGCATTCCCAGTCGGAACAATGCAGTGTATGAAAGTCCACGTCGTCATACTTAAAGTCTCAAATAATAAAGATCGAGACACAGCGTGCGATACAAAGTAATTCCTTGGGATATTGTCTCCGAGCTCGCGCGCGGATGATAATAATAATAACGATAATAACCAGTGAATTGAAGTATACCTCGAAATTACGCAAGAAAACGCTTTGAAAAAAGGAAACCTATGCAATTAACAACATACAAGTACGTGAATACTTTTCGACGGGACTCTCTCTTTATTTTACGCGCACTTTTAGCTAGATAATCCCCGCCGTGGGGAAACGATTTTATTTTCAACGGCGGAGTATCGCGAGGAATCTCGGTAGAACGCAGCGCGCGCTATATTTATATCGCCTCGATATTTATGCGCGATCGAAATTCGCGAACTTTGGCACGTGTGACGTGAAGCAAAAGCTCGTCGCCGACACGCGCGCGTTGCATCGTCCATGCGACTGTGTCGGGGACGGTGGCGAGCTTTGGAGAGGGTTTCATTGTGACGACAATATCGCCTTGGGCGGCATTGGCGAGGTAGATATGCAAATTTCGAGAAGTGCGGCTTGGCTCTCTGGAATTTCACTTTGACAAATTTGTTAATGCCGCGCGATAATGTCTGAAAGTTCGACGGCGTTTTTCGCATAAAATTACTATAGCTGCGACGATCGTGAGGGGATGCGAGATCATTGAAACGAGAGGAAGCAAAAGCGATACATTCATCGCGAAAAAGTTTCGGCAAAAATCCAAATCTCACGTGTGGACAAAGTCGCGCGACGAATCGACAGAATGTAATTTTTCTCAAAGACGCGAGTTACTCGTAATGAATCGCCGTGTGAAAGCACTAGATGAGAAGGATAAGTAAGACGATACTCATGTCACGAGATGATTAAGCGAATTAATATATCCTTTGTTTCAGGAGACGGCACCTTTCGCACCGCCACGGCAACGTTTAACGTAAGTATATTATCGCTCCCGCACGGCGACATTAGTTCGTGACCCGTGAAAAGTGGAGTTCCCTTCCACCGGGAAGCTCGATACTTGTCGGCCGCGCGAAACAAAGCGTGGCGAGCGATCGCCCATTGTAATCGCACCGCCGACAATTTCTCGCCAAGTTCTACGCCAATGCGCGCACATATGAATGTCGAGCCGGGGGTAGGACAATGCGACTCTCTCTCCGCGCGTTGTGGCGGCCGCTTCGTCGTCGCGCGACGTCAGTGATGACGCCGGGCTGGGCGTCGAGTTGGAGTTGCAGAAACGCGAAAGAAAGGATATCGCGCGGGGCGGGGAAGGGACTCGAGAGGGGGCGCGGAGACGCTGTAAGGTACATAATCACGCTTGCTGCGTTCTCCTTCCCTAATAAAAGTCTCACTGTCAACCCATCACCACGACGAGTCGACGACGACAACACATACACGCGCGTCACAGACGGAAAAACGCGCTCGGCAACACGGTGCAACTTCCACGAATGTATCCTATGGAAATCCAGCATGGGATCGGGGAGGAAATGTTTTTTTACGTTTTTTTACTTAAAAAAACAAAAGGGGGTCGTCGATGCAAGCAAAGGGCGCGGGTAGTGCGCGAAACGGGTTAGAAACGCTTGTGCGGCGCGTCCGACCCTGCAATTGTTTCTCCTTTTCCTCTTTCTTCTTCCCTGATCTCCCGATGCGCACTCGAAGACGACACAAGTCGTTTCTCCTTGTCCCTCTTTGCCCCTCGCGTTCTCCTCGTCCTCCTACGCCAATATAATCGCCCTCTCGCGCGATCGCGCTGCGCAATCATAGCGGACGCAATGTTCCGCGATCCGCTCGAAGAGCGATTTGCAAATTAATTTGGCTTTGTCGGTCGACTGTCAACAATACGCTGATCTTCCGCGCAAACACAGCACCGGGTACGACGCGCGCGCGCGCGCGTACGTTCGCGTAATGTCGATACACCCTCTGGTCGGGGGATCGTCTGGTTACGACCGAACATCGACTGTTTTTAGAGGGATACGCACGTTCTCTTTTTCTCTCTGCTTCTTTCCGCTCTTTTTGCTTCCCCCTTTCTCAGCGGTGAGAGACTTATCGTTAAATATTTACATCTATTTCGCGGTTATACACAAGTATCAATTAAAGGCGCTGCGCGCTCACCCTGTCGCTCGACTCGACGTCGAGTGGCTGAGTTACACCTCGCAGGTGAGTGAGCGAACGAACTCCTCCTGACATTAAGGCTATTAAAGCGCGAGACAAATTGAATACGCGATCGTCCAGCTCGGGTTTCATTGAGATCGGCCGAATGAAAGAACGTACGGGTACGAGCATAAACGGAAGTGAAAAGAAGCGTATTACTATTCATCTGGCAGTTACCCTCGAAATTGTCGGTGGAAGGCATGCGAAGGGATGCGAGGGGCGCCACGGTGTCTTCGCAGCGCAGTGTCGATTTTTAAAGGGCCAAGCATTCGAGGGTCCTTGGCCGGGACAGGTCTCAAGGTGCGTGTCTCTGGTGGTAGATTTAAAAGACCCTCGCGGTGGGAGCACGCCTTCGGGACGATAGGACCGACCTGGAACCAGATGGCTCACTACTCCCCACACCCACGTGTCTACAAACCGACGGCGGTCTAAACGTGAAAATGGATTTCTCACCGCTCCCCACTTCTTCTCCTCCACGTCTCCACCGTGTCCTCCTTCACCTCGCCGTTCTGCTGCTGCTGCACCGTTTTCCCTCATTCTTCGAGCACGGTTGCTCGAGCCGACGATACTTTTTCGCTCCCGCCTCCCACACGCCGTATACTCACCCTCGCGCACACGTTAATAACGCATCTCGATGCGGGCCGGCGTCGGGAGAAAGAGAGAGGGAGAGAGAGAGTGAAGGAAGAGAGCGCGCCGTCGTTCGACATATGTTTCGAAAGTCATTGTGCGCCATGCGGCGAAAGACGATGTGTAGCGGTAGTATGCGGCCCCGTAAACGGTTCTCCGCTCGTACGTTATTAGTACTCTTAATCTCCCGTTATAGACGAGAGCCTCGAAATTGGTGCCGGATACCGTTGAGAGGATCGACCAATCTGCCGCGAACGAAATTCCACACTTAACGACGGTCGGGGGCAAGCGCAGGCAACAGTTACGCGGCTGTATTTTTTTTCCTCTTTCGCGTTCCCTCTGATCGTTTCCTATTACTTTATTCGCTCGTCTAGTTCCGCTTTTTCTTCCTCGCTTTTTTCATCGTGCCTCGTGCCGAGACGCTGCGTTTGAATGCGCACGAGTGGTGACTCGAGTGGGTGGATAGCGATATGTGAAGGGACAACGTTAGGCGTCTGCGTGCCCCGAGAAGAGGCACGCGGTATTCCGCTCTTGGCAATCGAGACGAGAATGCCAGAAATTTTCTCTCGTTAACGTGAACGTTCGAGCGTTTCAGTATGAATGAGCGGATCACTTATTTTCACTGCTTCGGTATATCCGCCATTACGAAAGACCAATTGCTGTGAAAATACGTTTTTTGGAATTCGCGAGACTGACTCGATTCATTTTTCGAACAATTCAGAATCTAACATAGAATGACGTTTCATCAGTCGTCAATGAAAACTGTTTTTCTTACGTACTCGAATAAAATTATTTTCCTCTAAATTCTTTGTCGCTCAAATGTTAAAGAGCAATCTGAGTTGCAATATTTCGCTTCTGCATTAATTCTCACGTTCTGTCGAATTTAAAGAATTAATCTCAAAGTATCACACTGTATTGCACAAAGATATTGTCGTGTTTTAAAAAATTATTTAATATTTGATAATCTCGATATTATACCTCTTTTAATCTCTCTCAATGTTTAATTTTAATAAGCAATATGTTAGACACATAACTCGCTCAAATGCAGCTGCGGAATATATTGCACACAATAAGCGCACATATATTAAATAATCCAGTAGTGATTAATATATGAGCAAATTAAATAACGAACGTTCTTTTACCACAATCTCTTTATTTCTTTATTGGCGTTGGATGGAAACTTGAATAGAATTCAGAGAATCAAACGAAGTGACTGCCGTTACATCCCGCGCCCACTAATCTCTCTTGGAATCAGCTCCTGGTCATCATCGTGGTCTGGCACTCAATATTGCCGCACGAAAGTACGAGTCGGTCGGAAACGTGGCGTTAATTAATGATCGCATGTTAACCGACGACGATCGTCGAATGCTACGAGAGACACTTTCGATACGTGCCGCGCGTGCCACTGTTCTGATAATTTGATAATTTGATAATTCGCGCGTGGCCGTCAATCGAGAAGGCTCAGAATGTTTCGGGAGAATTGATTGTCGTGATTTCTCGGCCACCGAATTTGCTCGTTATTGATTGACGGACGACGACGGTTCGCGATGGGCGGATGTGGCACTGCCCCCTTTCAGAGGATATCAATTATTTTGTTATTGCCGTGCGACGTACCTCTCCGTGACCGAGTCTTGAGTCGACAGGTAATATCGTGATGCGAAGTGTCGGAATGTGTTGTTTATGTAGAATGAGCGTATTTCTTTCGTTGATATTAAGTTGGTTAGTTACACGCATTTCTCTGATCCCATCGTATCTACGTGTTAGTAAGGGTCCAAAGCACTCACGAAGCAGGAGCAAAACGTTGGGGTAGCTAGACGCGTTTTGAAGAACGCAGGATTAACAGCTCGTTACTTGATTATATATTTACAGGTCAAATTATCAATTGTAGAAAGTGTTTCCAATTTTAGCGAAGTATGTCGGCCAACTCGTTGAGAATATGAAAATACCCGAGTCGGAACTTTAGAATCTAATTTAAGATTGGTATTGAGAGAAATAGACAGCATTCATATTACTTGATAAATAATCATAACTTCATGAATCTCTGATCTTTATTCGTTAGTCTGATACATTTATTTTACACAATAGCAGAAATAGTCGATCCAATCAGCCATGAATACGAGTCTGCAATTAATTATGCTTTCAATTATGGCACAACTACGATACATCTTTGAATGCGAGTTTAAATCTGCTACTGTTTCCTTTTTAAGCTTGTTATCGTATGAAAATTAGATTTAAATTCTTATTGTATCTATTGAACTACTATTTTTGGCTTAAAAAACTCCTTCTATTTCGCTTCTTTTAAATATTGAAATTCTATTGAAATTTCCACAAGGCCAATAAAAAAAGAGATTCTAAAAAGAGAACGAAAGTTATATCTCTATTGATCCTTGGAAGTTGAATAATATTTACAGGATTAACGTAGAAGCAAGGTTTTGTCTTGGGAAGGTTCGCGCGAGGGCTCTTTGTACGAGTTTATTTTCATAACTTATGCGATAGCAATAGCGTATGAATGGCGCGTGCATATGATAAATAGAACGCGTAACTCTCGAGGAAGAAGAGACCGCGAAGAGGGAAAAGGTATCCCCAGGTGTTTTTCCAGCGGAGAAGCCGCGACTCGCCGAGCCACGTCTGGCACGCGTTGCGGTGAGATGAGAAGGGACGCTGCGCGCAAAAGGCAGGACACAGGGGGGAGGACAAGCAGGTTTCACGGGGCTCGACATTATGTTTACCACACGAAACGCCCCCGCAACGCCTCGCCGTAGAACCGGATGTCTCGTGCTGAGAATTAGCCGGGCGGATTTACGGGCGACGCGACAAATCGCCCGCCTTCTCCTTTTCTTCGTGGAGTGAAAACGGCCTCGTTATTAGGTGTTTGGGAATCGTTTAAGTGCGAGCCCACTTTTGCACGAATGCGTCGCACAATTCCGCTACCTTGTGAAGCTTTCACCGTCGCCTCCGTCGTAATTAGGCCCTAATACCCGCTGGCCTTTCGCAGTTTGTGATAATAGCCAGTCGGGGACGGAGCGGAAGAAGAGAAGAACGTTTCTTTGGCCGTTTCTACGGCCGCGCCGTCACACTAACGAGACATCTCTTTAAGTGAAATCGGAGTGTACAGTCAGGAGGTTGTTAAACCTGCCTACGATTGTCCGGCAGTCTTTT